ACCCTTAATAATAAATTTTTGTGTTATTTCTATTAAAGTATTTCTTTACTGCTTAAATAAGATATTACCTGACAGATTTATTCAAATGGAGTATCGTCGTCTTTTTTGTTTTTTGACATTTCATCTGGCCAACTGGTTGGCCTTTCTCAAGTGTATATCACATGTGTTAATCTTTAATTTTTTTTTTCTTATCTCAATCCCTTCACTGAATCTAGTGATGACTGGTATTGCTAATTTATCATCTCCATGCTAAATCCGTTTTTCTTTTAAAGAGAAGGGAAAAAAAATTGGAGATTGTTGAAGACACCAGCCAAAACCCTGACTACAACAACAAAGGTGTACATAAAAGTTTGAATAACTTCCAACTCAGAACTTTGGACAAGATATTGCATTCATCTTCTAATTAAAAAAAAAAAAAAAAAAACCTCTGAAGGCCTCACCCACTTATCTGTTCATTCTTGTAAAGTTTTTGTGCTTAGCTAATGTCTGCGTCTTATAAAAGGATAATATTTACATGACACTTATACACGTGTCTACATGCACACAATCACACATCTATACAGAAGTGGAGATATAAAAATTGTGAAATAAAGAAGTTGAAATAAAAAAAGTGATAATTTGGGAATACGGAATCGAAATCAGAAAATTGTTGGGGCTCTTTCGCTTCGCACCACGACCTGTGTCCATGGTAAACTCTGCAGGCCCCTTTACAGTGCAGGTTCCTGAATTCGTAGCTAGCAGATCTCGTAGTTTCAGGCTTGATGTACACAAGTACAGAAACACAAAAGGGCAAGGAAAACAGATATAGGCTGAATAATCTATCTACACACGAAAAGGCTCAGCAATAAAGCAAGGGCAAGTAAAGCAGACAAAGCTTATATATATATATATATATATATATATATATATATATATGAGTTTTCTTTTTGTATTTACGGGGTGTGGGGTCAAAATCTACATAACTAGACTTTATTGGTTTCCTCACCTCTTCGATAAAACAAATTTGAAGAGTTTAGGGTTTAGAGTGTAATGAGTGAGTCAACCATAAAAATGCCACTTCCAGATGCCAATATTATTTCTGCAAAACAAAAAACAAAACAAAATGGAAATAAAGTTTTGTCACCATTTGTCTGTGTTAAATTGAAATGTCTTGACTGCTGCAGTGAAAGCTAATCTCTTTATTGGTTGATTATGATTTGAGGAAAATGAATTTGTGACCGTTTTGGTTGAAGGCAATTCCAATATCTAATGTTATGTTTTGAAATCTTTTATAAGCCTCAGAATTCATGAAGAGACAGAAGTGGTTCAGTCTAGTTAAGTAGATATTGGCCTCATTTTCTTTCTTTTTTTTTATTTTGTGATAGGTTTTCTTGATTAACTGCATAATTAAAAAATCTTCACTTTTAAAAAATAAATCTTTTATAAATTTAAAAAAATTATTTTTTGTTAATTTTTAAAATTTTTTTGTATCAAAGATCAGCTTTGCTTGATTCTGTCATTTAATCAATGGAAAGGTTTTTATTTACAGTTTTGTGTGTTTTTTTTTTCTCTCTAACTATGAACAATTCAAAATGGAAGTTCAGGTTGTTTGTACCTCAGCACATCAATATGAAGAAATACATTTTGGATGCTTGATGTTCTGATAGGAACAGAGAAGAGGTTTTTATATTGTTTCTGAGAACTCCAAATGTATTGAATGAATTTGGAAGTAAAAGAAAGTAGCCATTTTAAGATATATTGCTTGAGGATTTTACAAATCTCTTAGTGTGTTGTAAAATATCTGTTCAGAGGTGTGAACATTTTATTAAAATACTTGAAATGTCTTAAAAAATCTTCTGTGGGCAGATATAAAATTAGGAGGCTCAAGATTTTTGACAGAAAAAATGAGGAAGCCCTAGATTTTTGACAGAAAAACTAGGAAGACCTAGATTTTTGACAGAAATAAGTTTAAAGTTTTCTGTCAATTTTTAAAAGAAAATTAATAACAAAAGATTTGGTTGAATTTATAAAGAATATAAAAAAAAAACTTTGCAATATTTTTGCTCTGATGTGTTTGTTCAGACTTTCCAAAGAATTGGTGGATTTCACTTTTTCTTCCAATACCAAGATGATTGAACAGGAGTCCACAAGGTTTGTATTTTAGTCACAAATGTGAGGTCAAAAGGCTTAATAATATAAACATGTAATTCAGTGGTGAGAAAAAACTTTTCAAGAACACAGTGGGAAAGCATCATGCTTGAACTGTAGTGACCTGATTGGAAGCAATGGCATGAAAATCCCCCCGTCTTGGAAAATGTCTTGCTTCATGAAAGAAGCTGTGCAAATTGTAGAATGTTATCTAAAAGAGATGTGACAATTTTACAAGAGCATGACACTTCTCAATTGTCCAACTGATGGCACATTCATTCTTTTAATTGAAGAGGAAATGGATATTTGATGTGCCTGAATAATGGTTCTTATTGGCTAGGCTAGTCTTGTTTAAAATTTGGTTTGAGAGAGAGAGAGAAAAGGAAGACGTTTCATAATATTGTCTAAGGGCCACCCCTGCCTGTTCAAGATAGGAAAAGGCAGTGCAAGTGGGTAGTCATGAATGTCCTGTGGTCAGGGATCAGTGGTGTTAAAGACTTGTGCAAAGTTTTCATTATTGCTCATTTACTTATTTTAAACAGAATTTTCTGATTAATTTAGGCTAAACCAAGTCTAGCACAAGGCTACAAAAAAAAAAAAAAAGTGGCATGTACAATAATACTTGAGTATTGCCAATTTTACAAATAGGCAAATGAACATTGAGAGAATAGGGCATAAAAGACTTGCCCAAGGTATGCTCCTGAACCATTTTACTAATGTCTTTACACCCCTTTTATTTCCCTAAAATGTAAGTCTGAATATGTATATGAGAGAGAGAGACTGAAAGGATGTATGTATGTGTGTGTGTTAATGAGCCAGTTTCTAAGTGGATAACCGTATATACAGTTATTTGTCTAGTTCAGTGGTGCATATTTTACAAGTATGCAAGTCTATCCAACATCCATAATGCTATTCTTCAATATGTAAATTATTGCACAATGTATGAAAGACTTGTCTAAGGTCTTGCTGGTCATTTTTCAATGGCCATACCAATTATGATTGATTTTAGAAGCATGTAAAACTACTGATCAGGATAAATATTGATTTTAGCAAAATTTTTGAAGCTCTTCTTAAATGTGAAATGGAAGAATTTTCAACAACTGGGACAGCGAAAACACTGACATCCTTATCATAAATTTTATTTTTTAAAATTGTCCCTAATGCTTTTACAAATATTTTAATCTCGAAATTATGTGGGGGGAAAAATAAAACACATACAAATCAGTTTTTAAATGCTTGTAAAATACAATGGCAGAAGCTTTTTTTTTTTAAGTTTTATTATTTTAAAAAAAATGTGCTAAAATTAAATAGGCATGTAAGTAATAATATAGAATAGAATGTGAAATCAGTTCTTAATCGAAAATGGAATTGGTAATATAATTACCAAGTCATGCTCAGAATAATCAGATGTTATTGAAGAGTGAACAATTCTGGGCCTAAATTGTTCACTCTGAGTTTAAATGCTTCTAAAACATAATTGCCGTTTGTTGTTGAACAAAACAGACAATTAACAGCAAAATTACACAAATTTATTTGTAGATGATTGTGTTGCTGTCAAATGGGATGACATGATAGGTGGATTGCTTTCTTAAGATCTACAATGTTTTGTGAAATTTGTCTAACAAGCTGTTTGTCACATCAGGCACTCGAATTACAGGCACAAAAGAAAATGGTTCACCTAGCTTCATCTAGGTTAAGTGCTTCTCTTTTATGCTAACAATGATACTTTCACAATTTCGGCTGGAACTATTTCTGCGACTAATTCATTTCATGCCAGTTGATGGTTTTATCTTTTGGAGTGGAGAAGTTGATGTCTGGAACTTTAATGAAAAATAATTTCCATTTTGTGACAGAATCAAGACTTGTTTTGAATATTATTAAAAGAAAGGAAAGGAATAAAAAGCTAAAAGTGAATTATTTTACATGAAAGAAAACACTCACTGGAATGTTGTAACATAAGAAATGAAAATTCATGTACATTGGATAATTTTCAGAAAGGGAAGGGAGGAGTTTTAATATCTTTATTGATTTTCTCCTTAAATTTTTTTTTAGTTTTAAATTTATATCTAATTAAATTTTTTAAAGGTTTAATTCTTGTTTAGAAAATAAGGTGTGATTATAAATGATATGGAATATGTTGACTGATGAAAAAGAGAGACATATCTTTTCACCTTCCACCCACAGAAAATTTGTCTTTCAGTAAAACTCGTTGTTTTAATCACCTGAGACGAATATAAACCCTGTCTATGGGCAGCTCGGAAAAAAAAAAAAAAAATTATCCCCAATTTTATCTTTTGTACATTTTGGGACAAACAATTTTATTCCCAAGACTCAATGTCACCAAATTTTGTTTTGAACAATGTGGAAAATATGTTTTTGGTAACTGTTTTTTAAAAAAAGATTTTATAGCTTTGTCAGCTTAATTAGGTCAGGTCATGTCAAGAGGTCAAGTCATATGAATGACTAATTCATTTAAATCATATCAAGGAAGGTCAAATTAATTGGCTAATGAGAAGTTGTTTTAAGTTTGGCTATAGGGAAAGTCTGAGAGTTTGGAGGGGGTCAAAAAGGTGAAATGGTTTCAATTTGACCACAAATAAAATAAAAATAGGGTTTATGAGTTTCCTTGATGTGGTCTTTTTTAGGCTTTGTTAGTATTTGTTACCAACATTGAATACTGCAAGAGCTCTTGAAATTTGGAGTTCCTGGTTCCTCTGACAAAATGGTTGGGAAAAATAATGATTGTGTTTTTGTCATAACCATCACTATTGTTCTTCCTGCCTCAATAGGTTGGTCAGAAATTTTTAGCTGGTATTTCCTTCCATAAACGGAAGAAAGAGAAGAAAAGTCAAAATTCTAAGACAAGGCAATGCTCAATGTTGAAGAACATCAAATTGGTTTCCTTTCCTGGTGATTTTCAAAACACCAGGTAGAATTTCTTGAGGTACTCGCCGAAAGCATATATCCACTTTTTTCCCATTCAAATCAGCAGCAAACCTAAAAATAAATAAATTTACAAATGAAAAAAAAAAAAAAAAGAAAAAAAGAAAGGAAAAAAAAAAGAAAAAAAGAAAGGAAAAAAAAAGAAAAAAAGAAAGGAAAAAAAAAGAAAAAAAAGAAAAAAAGAAAGGAAAAGAAAAAGAAAAAAAAAGAAAAATGTGTTTAAAAAGTATTTACAAATTTTTCTTAGTACATTATAATTTTTACATATTAAAAAATACTCTCAAAATATTCTTGTCTAAATTTTGTTAGTGCTGTAGGGATACAAATGTTGATTGTCTCCCTGACTGAATAATCACACTGGGGTCATCAATATAACAGGATAGAGCTATGGAAGAAAGATTTATTTTCCATCTGAATTTCCCCCATTATGGGCATTATTATATCTGTGATATAATAACACTGTACTTCACACAGAGAAATTATAACATGTATGCAACAACAAATGGCATGTATAAAAGGGGAACCTTACTTGTAATATTTACCAAAGGAAAAAATGGAGTTACGGTGGTTTCTCTACAAGCCTGGTTAGGCTGTGTGCATTTACATGTAAGACCTACCGCTGTTGGTGAGGGATGTCCTTCTCTGGGCTCTACATCGCAACTGGTCTTCATAACTCTATCCTGCCATCATGTGACCCTCATAACTAACTCAACAAAATGGAGACAATCATTGTTTGTATCCATACAGAGAGTTTTAATCACTATATATTGCTTTCTTTGGCTATGTAGAATGTGTCATCTGGTTGTGGCAGAGAATCCAAAAGTGAAACCAGGTATCCTTTAAATGGTTGGTTTGGTTGTTTTGTTTAACGGCATTCCAACCCCTTTAAGTGTAGACACTTTCAAACCTGGTATAGTTGATAAGGCAAGGAAAGAAGCAGAAACAACCTTTGTGGATCAAGGTTTAAAAACAAAACAAATAGACCGAGAGGTGCAATGATAAATAACCAAAACCAAACAAGTAATATTCAACCATCACTAAGCAAACCCTGAACTTCTACCTATCATAATGGATGAGTGTTCTCTTAATGTCTAGTAAGACTCAAGCTCAGCCAAGATCTCAAGTGGAACTTATGTAGCCAGTCTATTGCTAAAGATACTGGAAAAATGGTACCACTCTAGTAAATATCTAATTCCCTCTGCTATACTTTATCTTTACAAGAGCCAGATCATAACAAAAATGGAGTATTGCTGACATATCTGGGCTGGGGCTGCCCAGTCCTCACTTGATTGTCTTGATAAAGTTCAAAAGCATCTGTGCAGCCTTGTGGGTGATGAATTATTTCCAATCTCTTTCCAACAGACAAAAATATTGCAAGCTTCTCACTACTCTATCACTATTTCCATGGCAAGTGTTCTCATGAGTTACATTACTTGGTTCTTGAAACTGGGACCCGCCATACCGTGTATACAAGGAGGAATCATCCTCATTCCCTTCGTATCCCATTAATAAGTTCCACTTGGACAGCTTCTTGACCTTGAGTAGTAATGTGCAGAAGCTTACTTAGTTAACAGCCTTTTTATTGATCTTCGTATCTTCTTACTAGTCTTGATTACCGCGCAATTTGAAAAATTAAATTTAATTTAAAGTTTGCGCATTGCACAGTAATCAAGACAAGTGAATCTCCTGTGCATTACTACTCAAGGCAAACATATATAAACAAGGCCAGTGATGGCAGCTAAGAAAATAAGCATGCAAATTTACACCAGAATGGAAATTTTCATTACAATTGGTTTCTGGGGTTTAATCTACAAACTTACTACATTGGGATAAAAAACAGTAATAGATGATTTTAAAATATTTGTAGAATAATCTCAGTGATTATGAGAATGAGAAACTTTAACTCCAAGACATTTTGGGCCATCAAATATGTGCCACTATCTTTTCTAACTCTTTATCTGTTTACTCTCACCTAATTGAGCTTATGGCCAAATTATGTAGAAACACCAATTCTCATATGATCATTCAAGTTAAGGAATGTTGAACCTGTTCAATACCTAAATGGAATACCAGGTGCCGTAAGCTTGGATGTGCAAGGGTGTAAGGGATAATAGCTTGAAATTGGAAATTGGAGAGCCAAGTTCCAATTGTATTTGTTATATTATTCTTCTTTATGATTGCCTACATCCCTTTAGAAGACAAAAAACGTAGGCGATCATAGCCATCCACATCTTCCTGTCCCTTGTAGCTCCCAATAAAGCTTGTCTTCTTGCTATTTCTTCCAAACCCTGTTCTACCATCCATTTACTCAAGTATGTTATGGACTGTTTTTCTCTGTCCCTCTTTCCTTCAATCTGCCTTGTGAGTATCAGATTTTCCAAGTCCTTTTTCCTCATTATGTATCCTAGAAATTTCAACTGTCTCTTCCTGATGTTAAATATAAATATTCTTTTTGTTTCTATTTTCACTCAAATACCTTTAGGGAATGTATGAATCCACCTCTTCTCCCTCCATCTATGGGTTAATTAGTTGAATTGTATCAGTAAATTATTATCATCATCTCCAAAAAGTTCTTACAATCTAAAAATATTTTCTGTTGGTTAGATCCAGTGACAGGACCCAAAGAGTGTGAGTTCAATACTTGGCTAAGGCAGTGGATAACTTTCAGAGGGAAATTAACAGGAGATAATTGATAACTGACATCCATTAAACATGGCAAGTGGAACTAGAACAGTCTACCCCAGTGAGCAAAGTAAAGGGTTCAGTTCAACATTCCAACCACCTGAAGAAGGCTGGAGCATACAACGGCTGAAACTTTGTAATACATATGGCGACAAAGATGAGAACAATAGTCCGAATAATGTAAATAATGGATCTTCTGGGCTATGATGCAGAGGCTCACAGATTGCTGCAAATCTGTTAATAGACAGAGGTACATTTTTGTCAATATTTGTTGGACTGGATTAAATCTGATAGAAAACATTTATGAAGCACTTGAAAAAAAAACAAAAAAAAACACAAACACAAAGAACACTCAATCATTCGTCTGAGAGATGCTGATTGTAGGCATCCCAAAATGCAGAGGTGGAACTTTTCAGAATATGCCTTCATTTATATTATCTACAGTTTGGCTAATATTCTCATCTTTGTTGTTATGACCACAACATTTCAGCTTTTGTGTTCTCTGGCCTTCTTCAGGTCTCTGTAAATCTGGGTAACCATTAGGGAATTTCAAACTAAACACTTTATTCATTCTAAAGGGTAGGATTGTTCTCACTTTGCTCTCTTCGTTTTGTGTTTTTTTAATCCTTTCACCCCAAGCAAGATGACAGAGTCACTAACACACAGGATTTTACTGAGTGTGAAAGAATATAAGAAAAACATTATTAAGTGAGAACAATAAAAGATAAGAATTTAAGAGGACAGAAGATAATTATACATTGCATTTAAATTTTTGAAGACCAAACTTAACTAGAAAGAAAAAAGCCAGAAGAGAGTTCCACAAGCAAGAAGTGTGAGAAAAGAAACTGTTAGCATAGAACTTATGGTTACATCTAACCATTTTGACTGTAAAATGATGAGACCTAGCTGCCAATCTAGTAATGCACTTAATTCTGCTGTAGCAAAAGAAAGGGAATACAAAAGAGAAGTGACAATGGAAGGGAGGCAAGCTTGACAGCAAGGTTGCACCAAAGGGGACATTATGTTTAAGGCTCCAAATTGTAGCTTCAGATCTGTCCCAGGAGACAATGGCTTAGGGGTAGTTGTTAGTTCAATTACTGGTCTGGGTAGTACAAATATATTCAGATTCAATGCAAACAGGACTGGCAATAACTGAACAATTAAACAAGATATCTATAGATTGAATAAAGGGTTCAGTTCAAAATTCCTGAAGGTTACCTGGATCAACAGACACCTGAAGAAGGCCAAAATGTGATTGTAACAAAGATGAGGATATTAATCCAACTGCTCATTTCAGAAATTCAGACAGAAATTACACAACTCTTTTTTTTTTTTTTTAAATTGAGTTCACTCCAAGCAAGGTAGTAAAGCCACTAAGACACAAGGGTGTTACTGGCAGAAGAATTGGAAAACAGAAACATTACTAAAGAATGAGAACAAAACAAGATTAATCAGGAGAACAATAGATAGTGATTGACATTGCATTTAAATTTTTGAAGATAGAAGGAAGTGAGAAGTGTGAGAAAAGAAACTGTTAGTATAGAACTTACATTTAGCCAACTCAACTGTAAATTAAAAAGATCTCAATGTCAATCTCGTACTGTGATTAATTTAAAAACATCTAGGTACCATGGCTCATCTGAACAGTTGCCATGAAAGTATTTATAGAAAAGGCACAGAGAAGCAACTTTATGGTAGTGAGAAAGTGACTAAAGCTGAGATGCCAGGTCTGGACCAATAATATTGCTGATTCTTCTTTGGATCTTATATGGCAGCAATATTCTAAGTATAGATGTATGGTAAACTTACAGATATGTAAGATAGATTCTGGAGAGAAAAATTGCCAAGCAGAACAAAGTGAACTAACTTTCTTAGCAGTTGATCTAGCAATAGATTCAATATAGTCCACTTCAAGTCAGCTGAGAACGTTAGCCCAAGAAAGCACAGCGAGTCACTTTCCTGGATGATAGAATCAGCCATGTTGATGAAAGGCAGAGAAGGGTCTGTCTGACGATTAATGGAGAGAAGTTTAGTTTTGGAGGCGTTAAACTTGTCAAGCCATCTTTTGTCCCAGCCAACGATGGTTTTGAGGTTGTTTTGGACATCAGCTGCCATTTTGATCTTGTCGGACTGATCAGCTTTGCTATCAAGGCAGGAGTGAATGGTAGTGTCGTCAGCATAGATGCTAGGTTGAGATATATAGCAGGAGCACCAAACCATATGTGGCAGCAATATTCTAAACATGGATGAAATATAGCCTTATAGATATGCAAGATAGATTCCGGAGAGAAAAATTGTCTAGCATGGCACAGTGAACCAACTTTCTTAGCAGCTGACCTAGCAGTGGATTCAATATAGTCTTTCCACTTCACGTCAGCTGAGAATATTAGCCTGAGAAGGAGCAACAAGTCATTCTCTTGGAGGTTAGCATTAGCCATGCTGATGGAAGGCAGAGAGGGGGGGGTCACTCAGATGTTTAATAGAGAACAGTTTAGTGTTCCTATGGAATACATAATTATTGCCTATAGTTTGCCAAAACATTACTGTCATAAGTTATTTTACTATTCACTGAATGACTAATTATTCTATTTAGATGGCAAAACTATTTGAACTTTTAAAAATATCAAGAATTATTACTGTTTTTTTTTCAGGATTCGCAAATTTCATGAATTGTTTACCATTCATAAAATGTAAAGTGAATTTTCCAGAAGTCATATTTAAATAATAATTATTATTGTCATAATAATTAAATGAATGTAACAAGTTGACTCAGAAGAGGACAAAAGTAAACATGACTGGGTGGGAAGTGGGATTACCTGGGAACTATGCAAGTAACTGAGATTTGACTTTCCAAGCTCATAGCATAAGTACAACAGCCATTTGTGTGAGAGAATAAAAAAAAAGACAAAATCTTCAGGAATTTTGAGATTTAAACAAATCCTCCACTCTAGGTCAGGAGACTGGATCTAGTTGTCATAAAGAGAAGAAGATCTATCAGTGGATTTTGTTGAGCGGAAAGGGAAAAGCTGAACAAATAATTGAACCATAGCAGATTTCATTTGATTAGTTTTATATGTCTTATCAACCTTTTGCAGGTTATTTAAAGCCAGAAATTATTTTTAGATTTTTTGGAGATGATAATGGTTTAGTGATATACAAGTCTTATTAATTAACCCATGGCTGAGGGGAGAATGAGTGGATTCATAACTTTCCCAAGGGTATTTACAAATAAGTGAATATAACAAACCCAACCAGAATTGAAAATTGCCTCTCTGATTAACAATTCCTAACCATTATGCCACCTGCACATCCAAGCTTGCAGCAGTTGGTATTCCCAAGCAGACACCTATCCAGGCTTGAAATTGCTTAACTTTGGTGATCATATGGGGACTGGTGTTTCAACATGATGTGGCCATAAAAGACCTTAGCAGTGAACAGAAAAAAATGCATAAGGTGAGGGAACAGTTGTGCCTATGATTATAGAAGTACTCTGGGAATATGGTAAGTAGCCTAACAAAAAGACTAGAACTTGAATTCTGAGGAAGAATTATGACCATCCAGAAGACAGCTAGAATACTGAGGAGGGTGTGGGGTGGGTATTAAGAAGAATTGTTATTAGTCCACCAATTATTACAGGTAGGAACTACCAGTAGGTGAAGAAATTGTCAAAGGTTGTGGCAGAAGCAAGTGTTAGTCTGCTGTTTGGTAGTATATATTCTATTTATAGTTTGGGTTTTCAATCATACTGTTTTGAAGCTCATGAGGTGAAAGACTAGTTATAAAATTTGAAACTCCCTTCTTTGTAGAACTGGCAGAAAAATGGAGAGATTACAGGTACTCACTGATTAGAAATGTGAACCTCTGGTGGTTTGCCACAAATATTCTGGATCAATATGTATGCTTTTGTGATGATTTCAAAAATGTGTTCACCGCTGAAGATAAAATCTCCCTTTTTGCTGAGTATCCCTCCATTTTCCTGGAGGAGAGAAAAAAATGTTAAGAAAATAAGAATTTCTTGGATTAAGTGGAAAGAAATAAAAATGTTTGAGAAAATATTTTGAAAAAGAGAAAATAATTTAAGAAAAGAAAACATTTAAGATATAAAATTGGAATTTAATAAAATTGCAAAGAAAAATCAGCTTCAAATAAGTCAATCAATAGAAAAGGAAGCTGAAATGAACAACTGAAATTATGGAAACATTTTAGTGGTAAAGAGTAGTTTTATCTTTTTTTTTTTATTTAAGAAAGAAAAAAATTGGAATACAAGAGAGAGAATTGTTGTGAGATGAAAAATGAATATGGGAGTGGAAATGTTGCGAGATGAAAAATGAATATGGGAGTGGAAATGTTGCGAGATGAAAAATGAATATGGGAGTGGAAATGTTGCGAGATGAAAAATGAATATGGGAGTGGAAATGTTGCGAGATGAAAAAATGAATATGGGATTGGAAATGTTGCGAGATGAAAAATGAATATGGGATTGGAAATGTTGCGAGATGAAAAATGAATATGGGGGTGGAAATGTTGCGAGAGATGAAAAATGAATATGGGATTGGAAATGTTGCGAGAGATGAAAAATGAATATGGGATTGGAAATGTTGCAAGATGAAAAATGAATATGGGAGTGGAAATGTTGCAAGATGAAAAATGAATATGGATTGGAAATGTTTTGAGAGATGAAAAATGAATATGGGAGTGGAAATGTTGCAAGATGAAAAATGAATATGGGAGAGAGAATGTTGTGAAATTAAAAATGAATATGGGAGTGGAAATGTTGCGAGATGAAAAATGAATATGGGAGTGGAAATGTTGCGAGATGAAAAATGAATATGGGAGTGGAAATGTTGCGAGATGAAAAATGAATATGGAGTGGAAATGTTGCGAGATGAAAAATGAATATGGGAGTGAAAATGTTGCAAGATGAAAAATGAATATGGGAGAGAGAATGTTGTGAAATTAAAAATGAATATGGGAGTGGAAATGTTGCGAGATGAAAAATGAATATGGGATTGGAAATGTTAAGAGATGAAAAATGAATATAGAATTGGAAATGTTGCGAGATGAAAAATGAATATGGGATTGGAAATGTTGCGAGATGAAAAATGAATATGGAGTGGAAATGTTGCGAGATGAAAAATGAATATGGGAGTGGAAATGTTGCGAGATGAAAAATGAATATGGGAGTGGAAATGTTGCGAGATGAAAAATGAATATGGGAGTGAAAATGTTGCGAGATGAAAAATGAATATGGGAGAGAGAATGTTGTGAAATTAAAAATGAATATGGGAGTGGAAATGTTGCAAGATGAAAAATGAATATGGGAGTGGAAATGTTGCAAGATGAAAAATGAATATGGAGTGGAAATGTTGCGAGATGAAAAATGAATATGGGAGTGAAAATGTTGCGAGATGAAAAATGAATATGGAGTGGAAATGTTGCGAGATGAAAAATGAATATGGGAGTGAAAATGTTGCACGATGAAAAATGAATATGGGAGAGAGAATGTTGTGAAATTAAAAATGAATATGGGAGTGGAAATGTTGCGAGATGAAAAATGAATATGGGAGCGGAAATGTTGCAAGATGAAAAATGAATATGGGAGTGGAAATGTTGCAAGATGAAAAATGAATATGGGAATTGGAAATGTTGCGAGATGAAAAATGAATATGGGGAGTGGAAATGTTGCAAGATGAAAAATGAATATGAATTGGAAATGTTGCAAGATGAAAAATGAATATGGGAGTGGAAATGTTGCGAGATGAAAAATGAATATGGGAGTGGAAATGTTGCGAGATGAAAAATGAATATGGGAGTGGAAATGTTGCGAGATGAAAAATGAATATGGGAGTGGAAATGTTGCGAGATGAAAAATGAATATGAGAGTGAAAATGTTGCAAGATAAAGAATTTTCCAGGATAAAAAATTGAATATGGGAGAGATATTGTTGTGAGATAAAAAATGAATATGGGAGAAAGAATGTTGCGAGAAAACAGTGAATAAATTAATGACAAGAATAAAAATATGCAGAGAGAGCAAGAAACTGTAAGAAAGTTTATGAAAATAGAAAATGGCTGCAGACAGGATCAATAAATAAATCTTTGTAAAATTATAAAAAAAAAATAAATGGACAAGAAATGAAAGGAATCATCAATGAAAGAGTTTGTGGTATGAAAATGATTCATTTAGAAAGAAAGAAAATGACTATAGCACTAAAAAAAATTTTTGAGAGACTGGGACAAGAAAAAGTATTCATTTTTAGAGATTTATGGTTTATTTTGTACAAAAGACAAAATCATGAGAATTAAATTCTAAAGAATAAAATCATATTTTTATTTTCCTTTCAGAAAAAGTAGAAAATGAAGACATGCCAATGGGCTGAAAATAATCCACTCAAAAAATATTTATTACAATCCAAAGAAAAAGGAAAACTTTTAAATAAATATTCTCTCAAGCAATTTTAGACAAAAACAAAGCAAATAAATGATTAAATACTCTGAAAGCAACAACAACAACAAAAGAAAAATTGATTGATGCAAGCTGGCTGGAGTTAAATATTAACAAACATGAATATTTGGTATTTATGTGAAAACAAAGATGATTGGTGATAAAATGTAGTCTGATTGCTTCAATACATTTCAAGACAAGCCAAGCCATTCAAACAAATAGCACATCATTTACAGAAAATAATTAATTTCAGTCAAGTTTTTTTTTACTGAAACAAAATGTTATCAAAGATGAATTGGTATTCTGAGGTAAGTGTTGTATAGTTGATGGGTTTCAAAGCTTTGGTTTGGTTTGATTTGATTTGAATTCTATGAGGCTAACCATGCTCCATGAAAATAAGAGGAAAAGGAATTTGTTAGTGAAAGGAGTAAGGGAAATGATTCTATAAGCAACAGAGTAAATCTTTTTACATTCAACAAGAATATTTTCAGAAAACAAAAATGATATCAGTCATTATGGAATAGTGTGTTGAATAATTGTTTCTGTTCCCTGTCAGGCTAATACTGTCCTTCTACACCTAAACCAATGTCACTGTAAACTAAGGGGGGGATGTACTTGCTAATATTCTTCCCAAAAAGTGATCTTTGCTTGATTAATCTTTAACAAACACCAGGGAGAGTATATGAGTGAGATGAGGAGGTTCTAAGAAGACCAGAAATTACAACGAAATGGCTGATAACAATCACAAATAAATATTCTGGGGATTTTTTAAATCATTTCACCCTGAGCAAGACAAGAAAGCCACTAAGATGCAAGGGGTTAATGAGTGTGAGAGGATATCAGAAAAAGAAAAACATTATTAAGGACCAAGAACAGTAAAAGAACAGGAATTAAGAAGAAAGAAGATAACTGTTGACATTGCATTTTCATTTTGGAAGATCAAAGTTGACTGAAAAGCAAGAAGCTGGAAGAGAGTACCACAAGTGAGAAGGGCGAGAGAAGTAACTGTTAATATATAATTTACAGTTACATCTAGCTACTTCAACTGTAAAATGATGAGACCTAACTGCCAATCTAGTCAAATTAGTAAAGTCAAGGAAAGCTCATTAGAACAATTACCATGAAAATATTTATAGAAAAGGATGTGAAAGATATATGTTATGGCAGTGGGGAAAATGACTAAAGCCAAGATGCCAGGACCAATAACATTGCAGATTCTTCTTTGTATTTTATTCAGAATCACATGGTACATGTGAAACAAAGGCGGCTTAGAGAAATTAACACTAACAGGTCATTTTGAAAGCAAGAGGAGTAGAAAAAAATAGGTTTAAGCAAATGTATGGTAGAACAAGTCTTACAGAAGTGGGGTTGTACATGATAAAAAATTACATAGGGCAAAAAAAATGACAAGAAGTTGTGGAAAGTCAAAATTCACACCCTGAAAGAATATGAGAATGGGAGAGAAAGACTAACAAAATAAAAACAAAAAGGTACAGCTGAATTTTTTCTTGTTCACTGGAAAGTGATCAGGAGTTTGATGTTACATATTAGTCTTGTTATACCAAAGTTCTGTGGGAGGACATGTTTAAAGAATTTACAGAAGTACACCAATCACAATCAGAAGAAAAACACATGACCCCTTAAATCAAGGTTTATCATTCCAAAACAGGACAGGCACTTAATAGCCGAGAGGAGAAATGTTATGATAAAAAAGAAGCAGCTATGCAAACTTATACAAGTCAAAGTCTTCAGAATAAAATTTGAATTTCATATTATACTAAAATTAATAATGACAATTGTTAGAAAGTTTTAATAGTGAGATGATATGAAACAATGTATTGAAATTTAATAAAGCAGAGATAAAGAATTCACAACCAAACTAGAAGCCAATGAAATGCTTAATTAATCTGTTCCCCTTATATTTTTTAGATGTTCAATGGTATCTGTGATTCACTGATTACTCCTGCATAAGTCATTTTTTCCTCAATATTTAGTCATGTTACAAATTTTTTGTGTTTAATATGACAGTAAAATGAAAATATCTCTCAGAAGAAAAAGATTAGCAACAGAATATAGCAATAGCCTATTTCAAAACCAAGATGATCACTTAATAGACAAAGGTATCTGAGTACCTCACATGAAAGGCTTGAACAAATAAGACTGCAATCTAAGAAATGTAAAGGAACTGATTAATTAAACAGTTCATTTTGCTTGTGAACTAATTTTTTTTAAATGCAGATAAATATTTTATTTGTATAAATTATTAAAATGACTAAGGGAAGTAATCACTCATAAACTGAAGACAAGAACAATGAAGAAAACGGACTTTAAGAAAGTCAAAGAGGATGATCTGAAAACAATTAAAAAAATAATAAGCCATAAAATTGGAATAACCAGCAGATTCTTCAAAGATTTTCTTATCTTTGAAGAATCTGCTTTTGTGAATGTGAACAGAGAAAATAGATACAGAATATTAAAAATTATGGAAATATTAAAAAAAGACATGAAAGCAACCAAACCTTTATGTAAATA